GAGAGACGAGCAGTAACATGGTGCGAGGGGGTTGAGGAAGACAGGACTGCATAGTACAGTGGAAATGCAGGTCCTTTTGAGGACCACAGTTCAGAGGCAGCATTAGAGACTGACATCGGAGTTTGGTTTACAAGTGAAGACGTACGCAGAGATATGTATAGATGGAAACTAAGTTAATTGTTTTGTGTTTCAGTGTCTCAGAGATGTTCCTTTTCACAGCCTGCACTAAAATTGTTATGAATTGTATTTTTTCCCTGTGGGTTTCTGGTTTTTGCCATTATTTCCTTAGTCCTGCGCTTTCGTTCATGTTAGTGTTTTTCTGATCTGCGTACTTCTGTGTTTTATCATTATGGTCTGTGTCTTAGTCCTTAGTCTTACATCTCCATGTTTTAATATAGTCTTGCCTCCTGTTTGGTCCCGTCTCTGTCCGTGCCCTGATTTTGCTGTCTTTTCATGTTTTGTGTTTTACTTTGGTAGATCTGTCCTTGTGTGTTCCTGTGAACTTTACTTCCTGTTTTATTTTGGTAATCTTCTGTACCTGGTTTCCTTGTCTAGCTTTGTTCCTGTGGGTGATTACCTGATGTATTTCAGCTGTGCTTCCTTCCCTGCTCGTTTACCCCTGTATATATTGTCCTCAGTTGTCTTCAGTCTTTGTGCCAAATGTTGTGTGTTGTTTTTATTTTTAATTTTTCCCCCTTGAAGATTTCAGTTTGTTTTTCTATTGAACTGTTCACATTATAGGTCACATTAAAGGTGGAAAAAATTCTGACATGATTTATCTTTGTCTCATTATTTTACATCATAAGAACCTGGCATTTTAACAGGGGTGTGTAGACTTTTTCTATCTACTGTGTGTGTGTGTGTGTGTGTATACACACACACAGTTTTATTTACTTTATTTAATTAACTGGATGAAATTAATTGTTCTTTTGTAATTTATTTGTAACTTTGGCAATATTGTTTTGTATTGTAAATTCATACCAGCTGTTTATATTATATTCCTAGTATTGTCCTAATACTTAATATTAATACCTAATACTGTCTCCCCTCCAAGTTCAACATTAAGGCAAGTCCAGGGTGGTATGGTCACAAGACACATAATTGTTCACAAAAAGGGGTTTTATAGATGTTGATCATAAACATCCACATTCATTTAAATTACATAGAAACATTAGCTTGGACAAACCAAAGCTCATCAAAGTAATAGTACTTTTACTCAAATAGACTATCTTTCCACCTCTGTGTGAATGTGTGAGTCTTGAGACAGTAGGTCTTGTTTTCCTATAAAGTAGAAAGTATAGGGCAGAAAGAAAAGTACACTTTGTTAGATTGGCAGGACTTGGAGTTAAGGCTTTTTTTGTTGCATCTTTGTTTGGACACAGTGAGAAATACAAATTCATCTCCAAGGCAGTTCTGCAGTTTCTGTATGACACAGGATTGTATCAAACACACTATAAAAGGCAACTTACTTCTCTCAATATTTGAGTTTTGAGGCTATCTCAAATTCCTAAGTTTTGAAAAAAAAAACACCAATTTCCACAAACAAAGCCACTTCCATGTCCGTGTTTATTTTCAAACCGGCATTTAAAATAGTGTACATGTACATCTGACGACCAATTTCAACATTCATCACCATCAAAATAACATGCAATTTTATGTTCCACAGTCTCAGCTTCTACATACTCTTCCCCACCATTGTTAATTGAACCACTTTTTGCCTCTACCTCATTAAAGTCATTTGATGGCTGGTCAATGAAATAGCTTAAGTGTCAAAGGCAAAGGTTTTATTTTCAGCAATTTCAGGGCAACGCGCAGTCTGTTGATTTTTTAAAATGATGTCCAGGTGAGTGAAAAAACTGCCCTCAGTCCAAGTTTCTCCAAATTCACATTCCTCACAGAATAAGGTTGATGTCTTCTTACAGTCCGGCAATGTAAGGTGTGATTTTAATGCGACACAGGGCTAGTGAGGTCCTCGTCCGTGTCGTAGTCTACGGCTCAATAGATCTTGTTGACTTGAGCTGAGAAAACCGCAGAACCCACTGTCGCGCTGACTCGGCGGAGGTGTGGCTGTCTTCAGTGTGCCCGTCTTATTTCCTCCTCCTGCCTGCCGTCTCACCTGCGCGCCGCCCCGCTCTGCACAGCAGCCCGCATGTGACTGCGCGCGCCCTGGCGCACGCTCGACCAGGTGAATTGAAGCTCGCGCCCAGTTCAATCGGCGGATTATAAATACACGCAATACAGTCATTTGGCTGGTGTGCGACGGACTGAGAGGACGGCAGAAGTACAAACGCATCCAATGTGAGGAACTGGGACTTTTGATTGTGACAGGCTATCGGTAAGCTCACATGGACTCTCGTTTTGGATCTTTGTCTGTTTGGGTGTAGAAATGTATTTAATGGGCTAAATGTGTTAATGTTGTGGGTAAAGCTTAAAAATGTCACTGCGTGGCTTAAAGTGATAGTAAACTGATGAGACCCAAATGCTTACATTTATATGGTTAAAGTGTGGGTTTCCTACCTAATTTGTGTAGATTAATACTTAAATGGAAACCCAAAATCCTTTTGTTAAAGCTAAACTAAAATTGATAAAATGCATAAATTGTTCTTAAAATGTAAAGGATATTCCTTAAAACATTTATAAAAATACTTTTACCTAATCTAAATATACATACTTTCTACCTTGTTGAAATACTTAACCTTACCTGTATTGGGGGAAATGTTGTTTATTAAAAATGCTTTTTAGTTTTTGTATTTAAAGCTTTTTCACCTGATGCTGATTCACCGGTACCTGTTCAACTGGTCAAAATAAATCTTTTCTGAGTGAAATCCGAAGTCTGGTCCTTTCAAGTGTGGACACTTCACAGTTAGAAAAAACACTTGACACCCACACACAGGATAACTGCAAGGACAATGAGAAATAAAAGGCAAACTAGTTAACTTACTTTTAAAGGATCTATACAACAAAATATTCTACACAGTGTACTGTGCACAACCACACTGCCTGGCTGTGTATATACTGTATTTCCTTAAATTGTGACTTGAAATTGAAACTCTGCAGCAAAACAAACACCTTACCTTCTTTAGTGTGTTGCGCGTTCCCATGCACTGTATTTACCATCTCTCTCGCACTCACTGGCTACTGGATCGCGGACTGCAAGGAGATATTCCCTGAAGTCAACAAAGTCTGTTTCTCATTACACTTGTGTAAATCAGCTTGCAGTCTGCAAAGCTGTCGTGTGTGTGTTCTGGAAAATTCACAGCCTTGCCTCTGAAAATTGAAAATAAACCTAGCAACTCTGCTTGTGAACATACCTATCTAGCACACGAGAGGGTTGTGGTTGGTGGAACCTCGGCACACCTTTCCCGGTGAGACTGACCACGGAGCAGCACCAGCTTCACAGGACAACAGCTGTAAGAATTTAGCATTTGGAGACAAACAAATTAGTTATATATTATGGGAGGAATATACAGGATCAACATTGAATGTAACAGTTGACAAAATGTTAAGACCTCAGTATAACCCCATGGTTAACTAGCACCATAAACAGCCTTCAAATTGACCATTAAAATAATTTAATCTGTCAAACAGATTCAATAAACTTGCCACCACAATACCTATCAAAGAGGTTTTAATGCAGAGCCAATGTATTGTATTAGTTTTGTCTGTGTACCTAATCAATTCTAAAGAGTGTGTAACATAACTAGCAAATGCCTTGACAAAATGACATGGTGGGTGGGGCACACTGAAATACAAATATGGGAAACCCTGTAGGGTAACGTTATATGGCCATAAATAAATTACGGTAGTTAGTATTTATTTTGACGTAATACATAAATGGATAGTGGTTCAAAGTTCTCTGAGCTCGGACAATTAACTGTTTTGTTGTTTACGCGCCCAATGCACTTCTGAACCATGCATAGTGACTCTGCAGTCCATATAGACATGGAATTTATCAAACCATTATTTACCATGCTAACATTAGCTGACTTCTTAGTTAGCAAGCAAGCTACAGTGTAGCATCAAGCACATGATTAAACAAAAGAACTAAATGTGACTACTGCAAAGCCAGACTTTCAATACTATATTCATATTCAAACAACTCACTCAACTCACCTTTTTGACTTCAGGTTCTCTTGAAGAAAACAGGAAAGCTGTCCTGGTATGTCCAACACCACCATGTGCCACCATAAATTTTGCATTGAGACCAACTTTATACAAGAAATGTAATAAAGTTAGTTGAAGAAACTATTTTAACAAAGTATGTTTTGTTCAGTTTAATCAAGTATGATTAAGATGAGCAATTTCATGTTGTCATTTTTACAGTGCAGTATATGGATTCTATGTGAGAATTTAGTTGTAACTTTGACCTGTGGAGGGCAGTAATGCGCTTAGCAGCGTCTACACTGCCGGCAAGAAGAAGTAACCAACACAATCGCTTGGCGTGCATGCACGAAGTATTTGGGAAACGTAGCCATTGCAGTCGAAGCACAATTTATTGTTGCATTTGTAATTAAGCAAAAATGTCTTCAGTTGAGTATTTGAAAGAGTTTGTCAACGAGCGACTAACTGCTGCAGCTGAAGAAATATTCAGAGTTTTTGGGAAAACTATCGTCCTCCAGTACGAGGAAGAGATCGATCGTCTGCGGAGGCTGTTGGATACCGATTCAAAAACCGACAAAAGGTTACAATGGGCAGGTGTGTAAAATGTGATAATATTTAATCGCAACGGTTAAAATGTATGACGTTAATGGAAGTGTACAAATTGTAATTGAATAATTGTTAACATGTAAACAGTATTTCAGTTCTCACCAGAAACATCTGTAAAGCTATAACGTTAGCGACTTTGCTTGTTAAAACAAATCGTATGAGCTTATTATATACAATGTATTTTCCTCCAACAGTGGAGGAGTTGTGTAAAACTCATTTTTTTTATAGTTATCATGTAGGTTTTCTTTATCATCACAGTAGTATCATGTTCCTTTTGTTCTCTGGCCCTCCAGAGCTCCCACAGCAACATGTCTGTAAGGAAGAGGAGGTTCTCGCAGACCAGCAGCTCTGTGTTCAGGAGAGGAACTCCAGTCTGGACCAGGAGGACCCAGAGCCTCCACAGATTAAAGAGGAACAGGAGGAACCCTGCAGCAGTCAGGAGGGAGAGCAGCACGTACTGAAGCAGGAGACTGATGTCTTTATGTGGATTCCTGCTTATGAGGAAAGTGACCACAGTGAACCAGAACCAAACAGAGACCACCAGCTCCTCTCTCACAGTTCTCATGTAGCTGAGAGCCAAGATCAGACAAGAGGCAAGAATGAAGATTCAACTAGAGATGCCAAACCAGAATCAAAGAAAAGACATCACAAAAGCAGCCGTCGCAGTAACAATGTATACAACTCTACCAGGTCAGAGATTCGCCATAATCCTTACACAGGTGAAAAGGCTTTACATTGTGATATATGTGGAAGAGATTGTAAGTCTAAGTCAAATTTGCAGAGACACATGAGAAGCCACACAGGTGAAAAGCCGTATTCATGCACAACATGTGGGAAAGATTTTAGATATGGCTGCAGCCTCAAAGCCCACATGATATCCCACACAGACGAGAAGCCTTACCTTTGCAAGACCTGCGGGAAAAGATACCGTCAATTATCAACCTTGTCAAATCATATGAGAATCCACACAGGTGAGATGCCATATTCATGCAAAACATGTGGGGAAAAATTCAAAGTTAACAATCAGTTGGAACATCACATGAGAGGAGCCCACACAGGTGAGAAGCCGTATACTTGCACAACATGTGGGAAAGCTTTCAGGCAAAGTGGTCAGTTGACAGTCCACATGAAAAGAGTCCACAGTGGTGAGAAGAAGTGAAAAATAGCAGTGGTACCCGACCGTCCCTCTCCATTTAGTCTCTTAGTACTGATTACATATGTTGCTATATATATTCAGAAATTCTGTTATACTATACCTCTTTGAGAACATTGTCAGGTACCAGAAATTAAGAACATGTGCTTGGTATTTGGAGGAAATATACAGTATCTCAGAGAAAATAGACATGATGTTGAACTGTGTAGCAATAATTATGATCCAAAAGTATGTTTTCACCTACTGAATGAAATACACTTTTACAATAGCTACATCTCTGTAGCTGCATGTATACAATTTCCTATTGAGAAGACGTCACGATATATTAGTATAAAGAAGTTTATAGTGAAAGGAGTTTGTTCTAACCTGTTTTTTCCCTTCATCTTAAATATTACTCAATTCTAACTGTCTGACTGTTTTTCTTTAAACATATTCTTTCTAATATTTTTTTATTTTTATTTACAATTTTCATACACTACCTCCTGCATTAGTGGATTGTAATCTATCTGACGTTGAAGTTGGGCTGGGCAGTTTGTTGTAAAAATGTTATTAGGATTTACACTTTTAATATCACTCAATATTGATAATTATCCCGATAAATGTCAAGTTATTATTCCTTTAAAGTTTAAAGAAGATTTTTGATCCCGAGTGAGGGTTGAAGAAACCAGAGAGTAAATTATGATTTTTAAACTAATCTTTATATTCAGAACATGAAAAACACTTGCCAATCAGTGGATCGCTTAACACATTTGAGGTACAACATTCAAAACAATTATGACATTTCTTTCAACAAATATACATGAGTAAGATTAAGTAAAATCATTTTTCTCAACAAAAGAAATATCTTTTTAATTAAGAGTGTATTTGTTTTAAATTCAAATTAATTAAATCAAACAATTGAATATTTATTGAACATTTGTTATATTATTATTGAGGAAAATTATATGGTGATGATTATTATTATTTTGTTGCCCAGCCCTATGTTTAAGCTGAGAAACCCTCTCACTAATGGTGGTTTTTTGTGTGTATTTTGTAGTTTTATCAACTTGATACAATTGTTGTTTTTGGTTTTAGAGGTGACACACAAATGCAAATTGGAGATGCTGACTACACAGTTCTGTAAACAAAAATATATTTTGTCAGTTATTTAGACTGATATTCCCAATTTGATGTGTTGGAGGTTTATGTAAACTACAAGCAATAAAAACTCAAGTGCTGGTAGTGCATACTATAATTAGTGCCTAAAGGAACATCTGTATTATATGTCATTTTTAGAGTGTCTAGTTGTAACATACAAGAAGTATTTTAATGTTGCAACTCACCAGTTGGAGGCTGTGTTTAAGTACGATTTGATACAGTTTGGTAGTTTGGTCAGTGGAGCTACCTGATACTGAGTTAGAATGTAACAACATTTATTCAAGTACTGTACTTATACACAACAATGATTGTCCTCAGATGCCAATATTGCATGTAAATTCCACACAGATATGAAACCTTGAACAAATAAAACATTACATTTTTAGGTGTTTCTGCTTTGGTTAATTTCACTTTTGTTACTTATAATTTTACTTTACTATATTGCACAGGAAGATGTTTACTTAACAGTTGTGTTCATGGCTGACATGGTAGAAGGCGAGGAATGATCTGACTATTCAAAGGAGCCGGGAGCAATCATGGATTTGATGGTACTAATAATGGGCCTCATGCTACATTGGCATGCTAGAAGGACAGGAATTCAAAAAGTATGTAGCTGTCATTTGTGAACCTGAAACACAATACTCAGATGTATTTCTGTCAGGTGAGATGGATGTGCGATATTTATCAGAAGACTTTACATTTAGAGACGTGAGTGTTGGAAATGAGACTGTAACTTTATAGTATATGGACAAGTGTGGGAGAATATGTAATTATTACAATCCTTGTAGGAAAGTAGATTTGAGGTGGTTTATACAAATTAAAGAGATGAATGATCATAAGGCAATAAAGAATAAGAACAGATGCAAAGGGTGAGATAATTGAAGAACTGCTCAAAGAAAAGAGTGTTTTTTTCAAATGATGAGAGAGGGACTAGATTAGATGTGCACACACAGGGAACACTCAAATACTAGATTAACCTTAATATCTAGAAATTTAGTGGGTATATGTGGGATGTATCAGAAGAAACATAACTTTTTGTCCTACTTGCCAAAACTCACTATATCCAGCCAGTAGTAGGCTACATTAAACGGATAATCTGTCAGGATCCTCTGGCTCCTACCAATGCTCCTAATGCCATGTGGTCAAAACAATCAGTCAGGAACATCTCTAACTCTGTGTCAATCACTGCTCATGCACACGTTACACAGCCCCTCTCCTCGCACATGCTCAATACTCAATTAAACAATAACTTTAGCACAATGGCTCAGAAACAACCACCAACAATTAAAGAAGTGCCTGTCCCTCCTTTGACAACAACTGGGCAGTCCTCAGGCTTTTGCTGCGATTGTACCCAGCGTGCCCATTCTGTAGTTGTTTGGGAAGCCTAAAAGATGTACTTTGGTAGTATTTTATCACCCTTACTATTTACTAATTATATAATTAAATGAAATATACATTTTCAAAAAAATATTGTCTGTCCCTTGCATATAATCAACTAACGTGTACACTACAATACAATATTTCTTACACAATACCTGTGAGTATTGTGTAAATATTTTTAATAGTCTTTCATTCCATTGTGTACACCCAGTCGGCAGAAGTATTGAGCCTGTCCTGTTGGTAATATCTTCACACAGTTGTTTGAAGACAGTCCCAGGTCGTGTGCAGTGCAAGGCTAAATAAATAACTTGTTGTTTGAATAAGTACAGTGTTTTCTTTACTGAAGAAATACTGTGGATAACTAAGGTTGGAGTGCAGTTTAGTCTTCAGGATTCCCATGCGTCCTGGAAAACAGCTGACCAAATTTTGAGTTGTAAAAAACACATGGAAAATTAGGGAAAAAGTCAAATGTGCTGGAAACTCTTGTTATGCAGGGCAATTTTTTTAACATTATGTTGTGCTTGCTTTGTTATGTCCGCAACATAACCAAGCAACCACAAAATAATGTTAAAATGATTAAAACTATAATAAAAACCCCGAGTCACATGACATGGTAGTGCAGGTTGAATGACATTAATTCAAATGACCAAAACTCTGTTATATAAGTTGCATTGTCCTCCAAAAGGTAAATATTTGTATAACTGTGGTGGTTTTTATTAGGTTAAAGAGGTGGTATTATGCTCATTTTCAGGTTCAAAATCTTATTCAGGGATTATACCAGAACAGGTTTACATGGTTTCATTTTCAAAAAACAACATATTTTCTGTCATACTGCACATTGCTGCAGGTCCTCTTTTCACACTGTGTGCTGAAGGCTTCGTTTTAGCTATGGAGTGATACATCTTGTCTCTACATGATCTTTGTTGGGAGTTGCACATGCAGTTCCTAGTTAAGGACTACTAGCCAATCAGAAGCAGAGAAGGGCAGGTCAGCGCAAGGCCAGTAATGGCAAATCAGAAGCAGAGAAGTTATTAATCTGTAACAAAAGTATCTTTCATCCATAAAGTTTTAACTGAGCTCTGTCTCTACATCACAGTAACAACTTTATGTCCACTGACTGCTTGGAGAGTAGCTAGTGTTTGGAAGGGAGAGGAGAGGTGTGCTGGAGCTCAGTGTTTTTCCACCGGTGTTTTTGAGGGCTTTTTGGTCAGCTCAGCGAGCATTATGACACCTATTTTCATTGTGATGTCACAAGAAAGAGAAGTAGAGGCTGGACTACAAACAAGCTGTTTTCAGGCAGTTCAGATTTGTGTTTTCTGTGGGAGATGGGAACTCCCTTTACACTCCTTTTACATGCACAAAAAAAGATATATAACTCAATAAAGGAGAGGGAAAAAGCCTAAAACCATAATACCACCTCTTTAATAGATTAACATTTTCTTCTACACTTGTTTTAAACATGTTGATTTCAGTTGCTCGTTGTTGACTTGCTTGCTAGCTTGATTTAGTTACAAGCAATAGTTGATTACATGCAATTTACAGACACAATACTTTTTTGAAAATGTGTATTCAATTTAATTACATAATTAGTGAATTGTAAGGGTGATAAAATACTACCGAAGTTCATACTTGGGTTTTACTTTAGGCTTCCCAAACAAATAGCGTGATAATCGGTGCTACATAATGGGCACGCTGGGTACAATCGCAGCGAAAGCTTGGGGACCGTTACTAAATGTTTGCCCTGATCAGGATTTAAACCCAGATCTCCCGTATGCAGGACAACCACACAGCCACTGCTCTATCCTTTGGTAAAACTCACTGGAGATCATCATCATTTAAGACAACACCACTTTTTACGGCGTTGTTGGTGATGCTGAGCGGCATAAAAAGCAGCGTCTTGCCATAATGGAGACAGTTGTGTGACAGCTACATGTGGATAGGCTACTCCCTCACCAGTGTACAACATCGTTGATAAGCACGTAGCTGTCAGGCTTGAAGAAATAAGATATCAACTCCTTGAGGTAAAAACACTTTTTTCATGTTTTAACCTCTCAAGTAATTTATTCATCAGATGTATTCTCTTTCTTTTTGAAACGTCTCTTATCTGCTCTTGTTGGTTCTTGAAATGTTGGAAGTACTTGAAAATTCAAATTTAACTGTGTGCAACTTATCAGTACAACGAGATAGTTCAGGCCTCCTAAACCAGGAACGGAGACACAGATGGGGTGCCACGATTGAGATGCTGGTGTTTCTCTTCTGGCTGGCAAGTGGGGCATCATACAGGGTGGTCTCCAGAGAGTTTGCAATGCCTTGATCCACTGTCCACTGCATCGTCCACAGAGTCACTGAGGAGGTGGTGGCCATTCGCCACAAGGTCATCCACCTATCGAAGACCCAGGATGAGTTACAACCGATATCCCGTGGGTTTGCAGGGCTGGCACGACACAGAGCCTTTTTTAAAGCAGCTGGAGCAATCGACGGCTGCCATGTCTACATCAAGCCACCGAGCGAACCTGATGGTCAGTGCTACAGGAACAAGAAACTGTTTCCATCCATCATCCTGCCACAAGGTCATCTGTGACCATCAGGGCCGCTTCATTGACACCTACGTGTCGGGGCAGCTGTGGCTCAGGAGCGGGCAGAGCGGGTTGGCTGTTAATCGGAAGGTCGGCAGTTCAATCCCGGTCCCCCCAGGCTGCATGTCGAAGTGTCCTTGTCCTTGGGCACGATACTGAACCCTGAATTGCCCCTGGCGGCTGACATTTACGTGGTCGGTCCACGACTCCAGAGTGCTCCGCTACAGCCCACTGTACAGGAGTTCACTCTACCCGCATTTCATCCCACTCCCCCTCATCTCTCCGTACAATGTGTGGCAGCCTTGCCGTCACTCCAGGGATGATGAAGACCAGGTTCCGGGCCATCTTCCTGCAAGCGTTATTGTGGCAGCCCATCCAGGTCCAGCAGCATCACCATCTCCCTGCTTAGTAGAATAAATGTTGTAAATATGTTATGTTATTGAACAATGTTTTGTTATTGAACAAATATTTTATTTTAATTGATTAATAAATATATATATTATTTATAGATTATTTATCTACAAGTTTCTCTAATAGAGAGAACAGCCTGTCCATCCTCTCTCTGCTCTCCTGTGCTCTCCCCTCCTCTGCCTCTCTCTGCAACCTCATGTCTTCCTTAAACAGCTGAAGCAGGTCGTCCTCTCTGTCTCTTTCTCTTTCTCAGCTGGCTTTCCTCCTCCTCCTCCTCCTCCTCCTCCTCCTGGTCAGCCACTGCAGTAATTGGCCCTCAGGCATAGAGGCAATTACGATATGGTGGAATGCCTCTGTCCCAACACCTCATCCATGAAGACAAAACAGGGTTGTAAGATGAAATTCAGTTTGTACTTCCCTTCATGCTACACAGTGAACGTTTTACACAAAAATTATTAAAAAAATTTATACAGAATATATAAATTTTAAATCACACATAAATACTTGCATCATTGTCCCACTTTTTGCTTGGAGTGAAGTCACCTTCCCCCACAGGCCCATTTTCTCCAAAATTGTCCTAATCACAGAGAAACAAAAGAAATGGTAATTTTGTGAAGACTGGAAAGGTGACAGGGCAGGACAGAGACACAAAAACACAACAAAGGGCTGCCCCATCTATTGGTTGTCTTATTGTTAAAGGCTTTGTATAGGATGGGGGCTCATTTAACTGTAACTTTAAGTACACGATGATTAGATGCAGATATTACTAATGGGCTATCAATACTTTAATTATCTCCAAGCCACGTTGGCGGAAAATTTTGCCCCAGTGAAGAGGTGGTCGCTCTTCCCCGCGACTGCTGTCGGGTCAGCTGTGGAAACTCCCCTGGAGGGGGGATGCCCTCTCTCAGGCGGGAGGTGCGGTCAGTAGTTATCTGCTTCTCACTCAGCAGCCAGCCCCCTGTGGGTCTGGCCACAGAGTGGCGGCATCTAAAGGGTTCAAGTCTCTCCCTGGCGGTGGTGTG